TGGGCTTGGTTTTGTTCTCATTTTATGGAGTAATGGCCATCTGTGTATAAAGTGATCAGGTGACTCAGATGCTTGATTAACCAAATACCTCATTACTCCATCGCATGGACTGGCCAGAAGCAGAGGGAGCAGACCTGGACGGGGAGAAGCTGTGTGGGCCCGTGAGCACCACAAGGGAGAAGGGGCGCAGCTCCCTGCGGCTCCCTGTGTTTGACACCCACCCTTCCTCCCTTCCAGGACTCAGTCACTGCTGGTCCCCGGGGTCCATTTCTCTCTGGTGTCCATTGAAAAAGAAACGTCTTCCTGGCCCTTGCCAGTGGTGTGGGTGGGCAGCCAGATTGGCACAAAACGGATGGCTTTGGGGAGGTGAGGGGGAGGGGAAAGCAGCCATGGTTTTCTTTCTTTCTTTCTTTTTTATTTTTTAAGTATTGAGCATGAAACCTGGGACCGTGCCCTGGCCAGGAATGAACCGGCAGCCTTCTGGTGCACACAACAAAGCCCAACCAGCTGAGCACACAGGCCAGGGCATGGCCTCATGTCTTATTAGGGGTTCCTTCTGTGCCCCAATTCCCTCAGGCCCTAGCAGAGTGTAATTAAATTATTTTAAATTTCATTAGCTTTTCCTCTGCCTGTTGGCATCCTCCCCCATCCACTTCCAAGGCTGGGAACATCCTGTCCCCTACCCTCCACCCCACCCCTCCCCCACCCCACAGCTCCTCCTCAAAGATCCCCTGTGCCCTGGAGACCCGCCCTCCCAGCCAATACTGGGCCTCTGGCCAGGCCACATCACCTGAGGACAGGAGGGAACCTCCCTCCCAGTCTCATCTGTGCAAGGTCTGCCTACTGCCCCTCTGCTTCCTCGCCGCCCGCTTCCCGGAGGAGCAAGCTCTCTCCTGACGCCCAGCCTGGCAGCAGCTCCTGAGCTCCAGCTACTCCCCTGTCTCTGCAGGAGGGAGAAGCTCCCACAGGGGAGGCAGGGACCTGTCGTCCATTTTACAGATGAGGAAACTGAGGCCTCCGCCAAGTCAACAGCACCATAGCTGGAGTTCCGGCCACTTCTGGTGGACTGCGACTTCAGCAGTAGATCCCCCTTTCTCCCCCCGCCAGCGTCCCGTCACCCCACTGCCACAGGGACCCCCAAACAGCCCCGAGCCGTGCAGCTGCCGCCAGCGTGGAAGCAGGTGTCCCATTGAGCTATAATTAGGCTCCTTATTTTAAAAAACTGGTGTGGCTTCAAAACACTCAGTGAAGATGGGATGAAATCAACAATTATGTAAATTTTGATTATGCTAAATGTAATTGCCATGGCCCCGCTTTCACAGCGCTTGCGGCCATCAATTAGTGACATTTATAAAAAAAAATCTCACTGAGTGATGGAGCGGACGGATGAAGCGTGTGGGGGGAAGGGTCATCTTTCTCTGCCCACCCCTCCTGCAGATGAGTAAGAAGAAGTGTCTGGAGCCGCCCCCAGGGACCTGGGCTTTATTGCTAAGTTAGGGCTTCTTTCTTTCTTTCTTTTTAATTCAGGAGATGCCATTCCGTGGTCATTTAGCTCCTATTGAATTTCCCCGGTGGTGACTTTTTTATTGGGTTCTGTCCTCCTATGACGGTCATTATTTCTCATTACTTCTCAGATTGCTCTGTGGTTCTGCCTTTAAGATAAACCCGTGGCTCCCGCAGACCCCTCCAGGGAGACCTCGGAGCCTCCCTCCCCCTCTTCTTGTACCCCTGACCTGCCCAGCCGGGGCCCAGGCCAGGGTAAGACTCTGAAGACAGAGATGTGTCTGGTTGGGGGTGATTGTTTTTTTAGGAATAGAGCACCTGGCGATCCTAAAACGCACCCATAGCATCAGTCCACACCCGTGGGCTTTCTGCAAAGGCCCAGCTGTCACGTGAGAGGTTGGAGCCGTCTCTGTGAAGGGGTCGCTGGGAAGATGGAAGCTCTGCGTGGTGTGTGCCGTTTTGCGGCATTTGTGGGAACTTGACCTCTGAGGGCCAGACTGGTCAGCCTTGCTGAGAGATCCCACTCAAAACGCAATCTGTGCAGCAGACACCACAAGAGGGCAGTAAAGGTTTGCAAGTCGAAGGTCCCATGAAAACCCGCACACAGGGTAGAGGTGAACTTGGGCCTGCATCTCGTTACTTTGGATGGATGTGAAGGTGGGATTACCCCGGAGCCCCCAATTGCCCTGTGGTTCTGGGGTGCTGAAAAGGCAAGCCATCCAGGGTCCCCCTAGGTCTGGTGGCTCCCACAGGCTATTCCGACACATTTCCTATCCACTCCGCATCCGTTGCTTGAACTGGCTGCTTCGGAGCAGCACTGTCGGCAGTCAGGAGGACAGTTTGCTTGGATGCGTCCCTGTGGCATCTGACCCTGCCATGGCCAGCTCACCAGGTCAGAGCAGCATCGGTTCCAGCGGGAGCATTCCTCGCAGGGAAAGGGCTTAGGGTCCAGCACTGAGGAAGTGTCAAGAACACGCTGAGGGTAACATGCTCCCTCGGGCCTTTCTAAGGTGGCCACCAGACGCCTGGGCGCTCAGCTCCCTGGTAGGAGACAGACGGCCTTTGGGCAGATGGGAAAACTTGGAAGTAGGGTGTTTCTGGTGTCCGTATCCTCATGGGAGTCTGGACTCTTAGCTAAGGTGACTAGACGTCCCGCTTTTGGCGGGACAGTTCCGATTTTTAACAGTTTGTCCCTCGCCCCACAGCGTTTTAAAACAGTCCCGATTTTTGAAACGTGGGACAAATGGTTAAAAATCGGGACGTCTTACTCTTAGACGCTGGACGTAACTAAGGGCAGCAGCTTCCCAGGACCCGTGTAGCAGGTGACACAGGCCGTACTGCGTCCGCCTGTTAATGACAATCCGCCAGCCCAGCCCAGCCCAGGGCATGTCAGCGTTCATCCGACAGCTCTGTGGGCGACGGGAACACGAGGCCGGAGGAAATAACGGTTGGGTGGCTGAGGTGCATCACCCTCGATCCAAGAGACCCAGACACTCCGATTTCCACATCCATTGGGCAGAGCACCAACCTGTCACGGCCCCCCCTTCCTTCTCCGAGGGTGGCTCGGTTGCCATGACAACACAGGCCCACCGGCCTCCTGTGCATTTGTCTCCACGGTGGTAACAATGGATGGGTCCATAGAGCTCTTTCTCATTAAGAGGACGACTTCATATGGTTTCCCTTCCGTTTCTGCTCCGCTGGTTAAGCAGGCAAGCTTCTTCCGGGACCTGTCAGCCAGCCGCGCCTCATGGAGCAGACGGGGTCGTAATTTAGTTCAGGTGCATTTTTTGGTTCTTAATTGGGGCTGTTCTGATACGTTAGCAATGGAATACAGATGTTTTACTTAAATCTAATTGCAAATGAGGATGTATACATTGGAGAACCGGCATGTTCTAGGGCCGGGGCAGGCCAGTTAGGAGTCATCCGGGCAAGTCCTAGCTGTGGCCTGTGTGTGTGGTTTAAGGTCTCACTGGAGCATAGACACACTCCTTCACTCATCCGTTCACGCGGGACAACGGGGACAGTATTTGGTTTGCAACCCCTCCCCTCCCCCAAATTTATCATCTGTCCTTTCCTATTTACCTACCTTCTACCCAGAAGAAGGAGCACTGAATGGCAAGAGCCACGTTCTGGCCCTAACCAGTTTGGTTCAGTGAATAGAGCGTCGGCCTGTGGACTGAAGGGTCCCAGGTTCGATTCCGGTCAAGGACACATGCCCAGGTTGTGGGTTCAATCCCCAGTGGGGGGAAGGGGAGGGTGTGCAGGAGGCAGCCAATCGATGATTCTCTCATTATTGATGTTTCTATCTCTCCATCCCTCTCCCTTCCTCTCTAAAATCAATAAAAATATATTTAAAAATAAATAAAGTTAGACGCAACCCAGAAAGTCTCTCAACTTGGGATTGGCCCCAGGCCAGCTGCTGGGAGGACGGGCTGATCTTGAAGCTGAGGGCGGCTCAGAGTCCTGGCTTTCCTGGCAGGTCCATCTTAAATGGCCTTGCATCCTCTATCAGAGGGGAGGCCGGTCTGTGCATCACGGCAGCTCAGACTCTGGTTACAGAGCACCCGTGTTCCCTGTGGCTGCTACGTCCCACCTCCCACACACCCTGCCAGCCGGGGTCGAGTCCAGCTGTCCTCAACGCTTTGGGCCTCAAAGCAGAAAAGTAGGACCCATTTTTCCTCCATATTTTCTTCTACTTCCCCTCTCCCGTATTTTAATATCTCTGCTTAACTGGGCTGCTCAGCCCCTCCGAGCATGCTCCCAGGCCACGAGATTTGATCCCTGTATAGACCAGTTGTTTTTTTTTTATTACAAAATATATGTTCATTGATTTCATGGAGGAAGGGAGAGGGAGAGAGAGAAACATCAATGATGAGAGAGTCATCGATTGACTGCCTCCTGCACGTCCCCTACCAGTGATCAAGCCTGCAACCCAAGCATGTAACCATGTAGCCGGGAATCGAACAGTGACCTCTTGGTTTATGGGTGGCTGCTCAACCACGGAGCACACCCGCTGGGTGTTACTGTGCCTTTTAAAAGAGCAATGCATCGTCCCCACAGCTTGCCACGAGGTTCCTCTCGGGGGGGCATGGTCCCCCTTTGGCAGGGCTACGGTTTCCTTCTGTTGGAAAACCTACCAATGAGGAAAACATCAGCAGACAGTGTATGTCTCTTCTCTCATGTGAGCTGTGCAGATTCCCCCACTTCCCCAGCCGTTACTTTTCTGTCCCAGGATGAGACCCAGCCGGCCCTGGGCAGAGCCCCCGACTTGGTTCTTGGTTAACGAGAGTGTCTCCTCATAGGTCAGGGCAGTTTCTGGGCACTTGGCAAGGGCTGCCCTTCGGGTGAGTCCAGCCACTGAGTGCGAATAGGTATGTCTCCTCAGCCTCCTCCCTTTCCCCCTCCCAGGGGCATCAAGCTTGGCTACAGTGTTTTCTGGCTGTCTTTTCTGGGGGAAGGAATGTCTGACTGTGTGTCCCTGTCTGCCTGTTGTTCAGAAAGCCAAGCTCGGCCCCGCTGGGAACAGAGCGTACGGCCCCTCGCCGGACAGGAGACTTTCCAACAACCTGGACCGCGTGAAGCTCACCGACTTCAATTTCCTCATGGTGCTGGGAAAGGGCAGTTTTGGGAAGGTAAGAAGGGGACCCCGCCCATGCCGCACAGCCGGGCCTTCGCTCCGCGTGCCGGGGTCAGCTGGTACTCCTGGCGTTTCCGGAGCAGCCTTGCAGGTTCCCCCCGCTGCCTGTGCCTGCGTCTCAGGTGCTTCCCACCTCATTTCATTACCAACAACTGCATCTGAATGGTGTTGGCTAAGTGAATAGCTTTCACGCCTGGAAATGACACGTCGACTTGTAGAGAGAGTGGAATTACCTCGAGATACTGAGCTGGGCGTCTTCAGCCCAGGTGTCTGCATTTGGCTTTTCTGGCCCCAGATCTCACCCTAAGTGTAGGACCTCATTGCCGTCCTGCCTGCTTCTCTGTCTTGGCTCCAGGCTCGTGAGAAGCTTCTGAAAGTCAGGCACTGTTTTGCCCTCAGGATGCTCCTGGGACATGGCACAGTCCCACCCCAGCGCTGATGATGCTGCCGCCTATTCCTATTGGCAGCCGCAACAGCGCCATCGTGTGGCGACAGCCTGCACAGTGTGCAAGTCTCGCCATCTTAAAAAAAAAAAAAAAAAACACAACAGCGTGCAGCGCGGGAGGGATTTATTGGCAGCGACCTGAGGTGTTTCATAGTTTGCACATCAAGTGGAACTTTAGGAACACTTTCACGTCCCACGTGCCCACAGCGGCACGCCCTGCCTCACTGACCCGGCTGCCCCCGCCGCCCCACCCCCACCCCGCCCCCGAGGAAGGCCCAGCCGGTCTCAGGCAGCCCCTCCTCTGCTCCCAGGTGATGCTGGCCGACAGGAAGGGCACGGAAGAGCTCTACGCCATCAAGATCCTGAAGAAGGACGTGGTGATCCAGGACGACGACGTGGAGTGCACCATGGTGGAGAAGCGCGTGCTGGCCCTGCTGGACAAGCCCCCGTTCCTGACACAGCTGCACTCCTGCTTCCAGACCGTGGTAAGGGCCCAGCACAGCGCGCCCTCAGGCCGCCCCGCCCCGGCACTGCCCTGCTCCCGCTCCTGCCGCTTTTACAGAGAAGGTTGGAGGCCACTCAGCCCTGAGCCTCCCCCGCCTGGCAGAGAGGACCGGGGACCGCCTCTCCGCCCGGCGCCCCTGCCAATTCGGAGCATCCCCTCCTGGTGGTGTGCCCTACTTAGAGACTTGGCATCCATTCCATTGAATTCAGCAAACGTTTGCATCCAAGGTTTTTGGTTTTTTTTTCCTGCTGGGCAGTGGCTGGGACTTAGAGACGGAACCACAATAAGATAGCGCAGGGTGCTGGCTCGGTAACAGGCCAGCCAGCCAGCTGCCAGGCGCTGCCCGGGGCCTTGAGGAGGCTTGGTTTTGTGAGTGTGTGTTCCTTTTCAGTGTGTACAGCAGGGTTGGGCAATCAGGCCTGCGCTGTTCAGCCCATGAGCTCCAAGGAAGGCTTAAGGAGCAATAAGGGTGCCATTTTGGGGGCCGGGGAGAGGTAGGTGGAGTCCAGGTGTCAGCGCCACGAGACGCTTCCTCGGCGCACCACCAGGCCCAGGCGGTCACTGTCGTCCGTGGCCGCCTTCCTGCTACGAAGGCAGAGTTGGGTCGAGGCAAGACACGCACACAACCTACAGTATGGACTGTCTGGCCCTTGAAGGAGTACGTTTGCTGAGCCCTGGCCTGTGGTGGAAGTAGGCGGAGGACAGAGACCATTCTGGAACACTAATCACCCAGTGGCGGGGCCTGGGCCCTGGCGCGGTGCTCGTACGTGGCCTGCAAGAAAGAGGAACTCGGCTGAAACCGGTTTGGTTCAGTGGATAGAGTGTAGGCCTGTGGACTGAAAGGTCCCGGGTTCAATTCCCGTCAAGGGCATGTACCTTGGTTGCGGGCACATCCCCAGTAGAGGTGGTGCAGGAGGCAGCTGATTGATGATTCTGTCTCATCGATGTTTCTGACACTCTATCCCTCTCCCTTCCTCTCTGTAAAAAAATCAATAAAATATATATTTTTTTAAAAGAAAGAAATAGGAAACTCGGCAGTGGCACCCATTGGCATTATCCCCACCGCCCAGCGGCTCTGGTTGCTAAGACGGGGCTCAGTAATCAGTGGCTGTCACACTGCAGCATGGTGGTTACTGTTCCCTTCCTCCCCTCGGCCAGAAATGGACTTTCTGTTTTCTGTCTGCCTTTAAAACTCTGTTGGGGGTGCTTAAAGCTCTAGGATTTTAGACTCTTTGGGGGGGCGCCCCCTTAAAGCTCTTGGGTTTTAGACTCTCATAATGACAGTGCAGCTGCACAATATCAGACGCAGGGTGCAGAGCCGGGCACGGCCATCGTGTGCCAGCCCCGTGCTGGGGCCCGGGCAGGGCAGCTCCCTGCCCCCAGCAGCCTCTGAGAAGCACTGAGGAGAGAGAGAGAGAGACAGTGGGCGAGGAAGGGAGAGCCACGTCTTGAATCCTAGCCCGGATCCCGTCACCCTGGTTACGCCGATTAAGCTCCAGAACACTGCAAAGCAGAGAAATAAAGATGAAATTAGAGTTGGTAACGACAAGGCTGGGGAAGGAAGCTCCCAGTGCCGTTTCCTGCCTCAAGGCAGCAGCTGCATCACTCCTTGGGCAAGCACTTGAAGGTTTCATAACCTCTGAGACGGCCATGTTTTCTAGAAGAGAGAGCACAGGTCGGCTGCCACCCGGGTGTGCTGTCCCTGCTACCCCCACCCCGTCCCCTCTCTGTCCCAGCCCACTGCCCTCAGACACACGCACGTTTATTTGGCTCTGTGTTTGGATGCAAAAGAGCTCTGGATTCGCCTCTCCGCTGGCGGTCCCCTCCGCCACAGTGAGTGTGGTTGATAATGCATACCCCTGGGTCACGGGGTTCGTTCTCGGAAGCCCCCGGCTGGACCTATTGCTCCCGCATGCCTCTTCGACAGTGCAGAGCGGAAACACTGGTTGAAACTAAGTAATTGGCCCCCGTGGATTCCTCAGTCGCCCCTGACGTAGGACGGTGTTCCGTGTGTAGGAGGGAAGGGTAGACCATTTGAGGCCATGACTGTCATGGGGAGCATGCATGACCAGAGGGGCTGACCGCCTCCCCAGGGCCCTCACGCAGTAGGTCCGCGACTTATTCTTCCCTCGGGAAAAGACGGGTCTCAGGGCCGCCCTGAGCAGACCCGTCAGCGAGGCCCACACCTCCCGAGAGACAGTCGCGCCCGGTCAGGGAAGCGTGAGGGGCGCCCGCCCCCGCTCAGCTCACCTGTCGCCCTTGGCCCTCAGGACCGGCTGTACTTCGTCATGGAATACGTCAACGGCGGGGACCTCATGTACCACATTCAGCAAGTAGGGAAGTTTAAGGAGCCACAGGCAGTGTGAGTATCTTGTTTAAGTGCCTTCGTGTAGACACACAGCGGCCCCCGCTGGGAACTCCTGGCTGGGTGAGAGAGGCAGGTGGGCTCTGCCCAGTTTGGGGGGGCAGTTCGGGGTGGGGGGGGCAGGTTATTGGAGGGGTCCATTTCTGTGTGTCCTAAGGAGAGGTTTACGTACTTCTTGTAAACCGAGGTGCTGGCGTGTCCACCCTGGTTGGTTGGCACAGCCCCTCGGTTGCTGGGCTCATGGTTATGCACACCCACCACGCCCCAGGCAGCGGAACCGTGGAGGCATGAGCAGCCCCTGCCCCTGGGAGCTCACCCTCTGGCCCAGAGTGGGAAGACTCACTCGATAATTGTAAGAGTTGCTATAACAATAAAGGTGGCACAGGACACCATGCAGCCCCCCAAAATGTGGGGAGTGAGGGAAGAGCATCCTGGGGGTTGCCTGTCCCAGAGGCTCAGGATGTGGAGGGGCAGAGGGGTGGGTACTCCGGGTGACACGCCCAGTGGGTGCCTGGCCGGGGAACGGGAAGGTAGGTCTGGCCAAGAGGAGAGGGGAGATGGGGGTGCGGTGTGGCTGGTGAAATCTGTGGAGAGCAGGGAGAACAACGCGGGGGAACTCGTGTCTTCTGGAGGAAGAGAGCCAGACATGGCGACTGGGGGGGTGAGCAGAGAGAAGCCTCTTCGTGTGATGCCCCATTTTAGGTGGGGCAGGGGTTTGGGGGAGAATCGGGAGCTCCGTTTGAAAGGTTTCACTGGGGCGCGCCTCAGCCACACAGGAGACAGACCTGGCTGCGGGGACAGACGGAGAGCCTTCCGTCCGGAGGGCGGGCGTGGGTGCCTGAGAAATCACCCCCCTTCTTGGGGCCAGGAGGTCCCGGGCAACACAGGGAGCAAAGCTGGACACACGGGGCTTCCTTCCCCTCTGCTGCGAGGTGCCATGTGTCCCAAGGGACCCGTGTTTGTGGGATTCTGGCCGACATTCAGGGCAGAACTGAGTCGGAGATGCTGCCTGTGTGCGGAGTCTGCCCTGGGCCAGGTGGCCAGGCCGCGGGGGAAGTCCATTCGTGAGCGTGGAAAACGTGCAGGCGGGTTTCCTTCCCTTCAGTTTTCAGAAACGCCTGCCCTCATCCCCTGGCTCGTGTTGCCCGTCAAAAAGCCTTAGGGTGCCCGGATTTGTCGAGGGAAGCCGGGCTAAAGAGCATGGAGCGGAATGGCCACCCTGTGTGATAAAGTGACTTAAAGGGCCAGCCCCCTTTCGTTGTATTTGTGTTGCCAGGAAAGTTTTATCTTTAAAAAGATAGAAAGCATGAAAAATATTGTCCAAGCCGCCTATAATCCGTCTTCTATTATATTTCTCTCCGATCTCTCCCTGCTCCCACCTGCCCTCAGAGGTGCTCGCCTCCCCAACACACACACACGCGCGCGCGCGCACACACACACACGCGCACACACACACCCCGGGGAAGGTTTGGTCCTTGTGGTTGGGCTTCAGGCTCATGCAGACAGGCCTCCTGGTACAGGACGCACAGGCAGTGCTGAGGCTCCTCAGACTCCAGTTCCCAAATACGACACCAATTTAGTAAACGTCTGCCAGCGTTTATCCTGAGTGTCAGACACGAACCTGCGAACGGTCTTGATGTGACGGCAGTCACTGCTTTCTATCCTGAATCACTGAGGAGGGTAAACTCGGGCGTGAGTCATGGCGTGTGTCCCATATCCCTGCGCTCGGGGCAGAGGTGGGTGAGGAATCCGCTCAGGAGCTCATCCCACACCACGCTTTGTCTTCCAGGAATGACGGTGTGCTTAACGCTAGTGCATGCTGTCCAAGAGGAGGGACGTGGAAATCGGCCCTGCCATAGTCCCGGCATAGAGCCACTCTTAAAAAAAATAAAAAATAAAAAAAATATATATATACATATATATGTGTGTGTGTGTGTGTGTGTGTGTATGTATGTGTGTGTGTGTGTGTGTGTGTGTGTGTGTATTGATTTCAGAGAAAGGAAGGGAGAGGGAAAGAGAGAACCATCAATGATGAGGGAGAATCATGGATCAGCTGCCTCCTACACGCCCCCTACTGGGGATCAAGCCCACAACCCAGGCATGTGCCCTGAATGGCATCGAAACCCTGGCCTTCCTGGTTCGTGGATTGCCTCTCAACCACTAAGTCATACCATCTGGGCTAACAGCCACTCTTTACATTGTATTAGGGTCCCAGCTGGTGTGGCTCAGTGGTTAAGTGTCGACCCATGAACCAGGAGGTCAGGGTTCAATTCCCGGGCAGGGCACATGCCCGGGTTGCTAACTCGATCTTCAGAGTAGGCTGTGCAGGAAGCAGCCGATCCATGATTCTCTCTCATCGTTGATGTTTCTATCTCTCCCTCCCTGTCAGAAATTCAAGTACATTTTTTAAAAATGTTTTTGGACAACGATTGTATTAGGAAATTCTCCTGTAAGTTACCTGTCCACTTGCCCCAGACGAGACGTGCTTGTTTCTGGGCGGGGGCTAAGCCCCTCTTGTTTTAGTAGCTGTATCATTTGTAGGGGAAGTTGATCGATGCGTGGCAGAGGAAAGGGTGGCGGTGGGAAGAGCGAGCAGGGGGGCGGTGGGGAGGGGGGGATGCTAACTTCTGACAGCCGGGTTGTGCATCCTCACTTTCCCGGCGCCGGAACGGGGTGGGATGGGGGCCGAGCCTCTGGGAGTCGAGAGGAGCCTGACCAGCTCTCTCTCTTGCAGATTCTATGCAGCAGAGATTTCCATCGGGCTCTTCTTCCTTCATAAAAGAGGCATCATTTACAGGTGCGTGGCAGAACTCCCACCCTCCGTGCAGTCGAGCATTTGGCTGGACCCTGGGTCTCCGTGGGCGAGTAATTCTGGGAGGGGACCGTGACCCCCGAGGCAACAGACACCTGCTGGGACCCTCCGGGCAATCGGAACCACCTTCTGATCTCGGGACCTCACATATCCATCTCCTTTCTGCTTCCCACACAAAAAACAAACAAACAAAAAATGCTTTTCTCTCCACCTACCACTCCCACCTCTGCTTTGGATGCAGGAGGGAGGTCACGGAGCAGTAGAAACAGGGTTTCTATAAGATGCTCAGCTGGATGAAGACATGGGGAAGAGGGGGAGAGGGGCCCGGGAAGCGGTCCTGAATTAAATCCTTCTGGTCGTCAGCTGTCAGGAAGGCCTGGTGCCAACGGGAAAAGAATGTCTCCCAGCACTGAGTGGAGAGAGCGAGGAAGGACCTGTGGCCCTGGCCAGTGGTTCTCAACCTTCCTAACGCCGCGGCCCTTTAACACAGCTCCTCATGTTGTGGTGACCCCCAACCATAACATTATTTTCGTTGTTGCTACTTCATAACTGTCACTTTGCTACTGCTATGAATCGTAATGTAAATATCTGTATTTCCCGATGGTATTAGGTGACCCACAGATTGAGAGCCGCTACTGTAGAGCCTAAGACCATCGGAAAGCACAGACATTTACATTACGATTCATAACAATAGCACAATGACAGTTAGGAAGTAGCAACAAAAACTGTGTTATGGTTGGGGGTCAGCACAACATGAGGAGCTGTGTTAAAGGGCCGCGGCGTTAGGAAGGTTGAGAACCACTGCCCTAAGCAGAAGAGGGGACCCGTGTGGGACCCGTGGGGTGGCTCTCTACCTGTGGTCTGCACACCTGGGCTGGGATCAGGCCCCTCTGCGTGGGATGCACCTAAATCGGACGACTGGCCGGTCCCACGTCTGCTAACTCGGAATCCCTGGTGATTCCCTTGGGCAGCCATGGTTGGGGACTCGCTAGTTCGGCCATTCAGTCATTCTCCCGACACCCATCCATTGAGGACCTCCTGGGTCCCGGGCACTGTGTTAGGCTCCGGAGGTGAAAAAATAGCATCTCCTGGTCCCAGCTCCCCGGGTACTTGTAGTTCACGCCCCGCTGAGGCGGCAGCTCGTCAGATGTGTGCCTCGCCAGCTGCTGAGCGAACCGCGCGCTCTCCGCACGCCGCGGGCAGGCGCTGACACTGTGCCGCTTCCTCGCAGGGACCTGAAGTTAGACAACGTCATGCTGGACTCGGAGGGGCACATCAAGATCGCCGACTTCGGGATGTGCAAGGAGCACATGATGGACGGTGTCACGACCAGAACCTTCTGTGGGACCCCAGATTACATCGCCCCAGAGGTAGGGGACCCCCCCCCCCAATTCTCCTCTTTGCCTAAACCAGCGCCTTCAAACTGCAGCCGCTGCTCCCTCCTGGGCTGCGGAGCCGTTCTCCAGTCACTGAGTGGGCCTGTGAGGGCAGAACGCGCTAAACAGCTAAACAGGAGACAGAAACACGCACGCCCGTGCCACCTCCGTGGTGCACGCCTCGCTTTCTGGATCTTTGCTCTCCCATGAGCACATATAAGCCAGCTGCACGGTAAAATGGACCAAACAGCTGAAGAAGCTGGGCAGGGAAGGAGGGCTCTGGCTTGTCAGAAGGTTCTTCAGGGGAGAACTGGGTCAGAAGGAGATTCCAGCCATGGCTTTTTCGGGAAATCAGAGTGATTAGCGCTGAAAGGTCACACTGGCGTTGACCGCAGTGTTTATTCTGTGTGGTTCTGAGCAAAGTGGTTCTGAGGCACTTACCTAGGTTGTGGGAAGCAACTAATTGATGTTTCTCTCTCTCTCTCCCTCCCACTCTCTCTACTTCCCTTCTTTCCTCCTTCTCTTCTTCTAAAACCAATAAACATATCCTCAGGTGAAGGTTTTAAAAAAAAATCTAAAACACTGATTGTTAAAAATAGGTCACAGGAACTGCTTTTAATTTAGTTATAAGAACAGATTTCACTCATGTATTTTTCAAATATAGATGCTAAAGTGAATAATGATTTCAAAACTCCTTAATCCTCAAAGCCCTTTGATGAATATTTTATTGGTCCCAGTAGGAGTGATTACATATCTTCGAAAGCCTCAAATCATATTTTTAAGACAAATCTGTCACTATTCTGAGCACCACCTGTTAGCTGATGGGCTTCTGGCAAGTTTCCCAAATGCTTACTCCTCGGTTTTCTCGCCTCTAAAATGGGAACAACGATCATTTCTGTCTCATCGGGTTATGTAAAATGTGTTTGAGCATCGGGCGGATGGCAGGTGCTCGGCAGGCATGCTCTTATTCTCCCAAAGACAGTTTCTGTGCTTCTACTTGGCCAGGGGTCTTCTGTCTGGGCCCTGGAGGGACATCATTACAGGTCACTGGGTAATGCATTAGAGACTCACTTTGGTCGGGTTTTTTAGTTCTTCTGTATGTGTGTTTTCCCAGTTTTCAAAAAAGAACAAATGTCCTTTTAAAAGCAATGACGGCCTCCTTATGGGCCCCTTGGTGTGTCGTGTTCTTGTCGGGGAAATGGGCCACAGAGCCACCGAATCCAAACCAGGGCCCTCTTGTCATCGCCTGCGCTGAAGTGAGCCACAGGCGTGCCTCGCCTCCCACCGGGAGACATGGTAGCGCTGCCTTAAAGCAATGGGGATGGGCAGACAGGCAGGGAGTGTGTCTATGTTCCCAGACACTTAATTAGACATAGTGGGCCAATAAAAAAGTACGTGGGCCGGCAGGCGTAGCTCGGTGGTTGAGCATCGACCTGTGAACCAGGAGGTCACAGTTCAATTCCTGGTCAGGGCACATGCCAGGATTGCGGGCTCGATCCCCAGTATGCGGGCACACAGGAGGCAGCCGATCAATGATTCTCTGTGATCATTAATGTTTCTGTCTCTTTCTTCCTCTCCCTTCCTCTCTGAAATCAATAAAAATATATTTTTAAAAATACCTTGGGCCCTAGCTGGTTTGACTCAGTGGATAGAGCATCAGGGGCCTGTGCCCAGGTTGCTTGCTTGGTCCCTAATAGGGGGCATGCAGGGGGCAGCCAACCAATGATTCTCTTTCATCATTGATGTTTCTCTCTCCCCCCCCCCATCTACCTTCCTCTCTGAAATAAATAAAAATATGTTTAAAAACACCCTGGAACATTTCTAAGTCAAATCCGCATGCTAAGTGGCAGGACGGTCCTGCCGAGGACCTGTTAGTGTGTCTTCACCGGGAATCCCTGGCGTGATGCTGGGCCTGGGGGTTGTGTGTTAGGTGCGCAGCCTGCCTGCATGGCAGCGAAGCCAGTGTTAGGACACCAATCACCACATCATCCATCCTGTCTAACAGGTCAGCTATAACCCCTTAGCGTCACCTGCTAGCAGGACCACATTACACTGTTCCCACTTCCTTTTTTACAGTTGGCTGGTTAGGATCAAGATCGGACAAGGTCCGCATATTCCATATTATGTCTCTTTTAAAGCATTTTGAAATTCGTGTCATTCAGCAGCTCTCGTTGTACCTCTGTGAGCAACACAAAACTAGAAATTTTACTTTCGTCATTCCTCCTTCCCTTTTTCTTTTTTATGCTGATGATGATGATAATCATCTTCTTCTTTATTACTCTTAATGAAATTCTGTTACTTCGTTTGGTTATCTTATTGATGAGACTCAAGCTTTGAATGACCTCTGCTTTTTCCAAAAATTAAACCCACCTCAGTGCCCAGATACGTTCCCCTAATGAGGATAGTTAAATTGACCTCAGATGGTGCTGTGGCGTCTTGGGGGGATTCAGGAGTCGGTGAATGTAGGGGTGACAGTTCTTGAGGTGCCCAATTGGAGGAGCGTTCTTCCCTTGGTGTAGGAATCAAAGATGAGTTATCACCCCCTCCTTTGCAAACCGTGAGAATGCCCATGTGCCTGACTTACCTGTCCTAACACAGGCTTTTTGACTTGACATGGAATGTAATGGATGTGTTTGTTTTCCCACAGATAATTGCTTATCAGCCGTACGGGAAGTCTGTGGACTGGTGGGCCTATGGCGTCCTGTTATATGAAATGCTGGCTGGGCAGGTAACGTTTCCCTGTGTTTTCATGCTTGTTTATCGCCATCCAATGCCAACACTTCTGCTCCGCGGGGGCCGAGATAGCAGGACCCGGCAGTGTGGCAGGACAGGACTGGGCTGGCTCCCTGGCCTGGGTGAAATTGTATTCAGTATGTATAGAAATTCTCTTCCGATCACAAAACCCAAATTGAAAGCCGAGTCCTGGAGAAGAGACAGGGTACGGCCATCACCTTACGCACAAAAGCCCCTTGCGTGCTGGTGACAACATGGCCCCTGAGTTTCGGTGGCTCGACGCTGGGGTAGGTCTCTGCGAGCTCGTCTGCAGAAACCACGGGTGCTGCTGTGCGTACCCGCTGTCCCTGAAGCATGTAATGGCTCCATGCGTCTCCGCTCATCTCACCATTTGCAGCTCATTATAACGTCTGCAGCTCATTATAACGTCAGGCTGGACGTCCAGCTAAGAAAAGGCAGATGTGGTCCCTCGTGGGAATGCACATTGAGCTGATAATCGCGTGTGTCTTAAGGAGGCAAGTCGCTTATCTCTGGACAACCAGCTAGGAGGAGGTGGAGCTGGAATTCTGGTTTATGTCTGCCTGGCTCCAAAGCCAGGGCCTCCCACAGAGCCTCCCTCTCCCCACAGGAGGCTGCAAACCCTGCAAAAAAAAGGACGGGAGGTGTCGGGTGGAGCTGAGCTGTCCTGTCACCGCCTCCACGCGGGGGGCAGCTCTGTGTTGGGTCAGAGAGGCTCTGATATGCATTCCGGACCCAAGCAAGTCCTCTTTGCCCAGGTTCTGAGATCCCCGTCACCCCATGTTCAGAATCCAAGAGCATTAGCATCCTCCACCACCACCCCATTCTCTGAACACACAGCCGTCTATAACCTAACTGGGTCATAATTCCACTTCAACACATAATTGCAAGATTAATGGATTCATTATCATTTATTTGAAAAAAAAAAAAATCAAAGCATTACTCAGAAACACTTTTCTCAAAGATTGCTTTGGGTTGCCCAGGGAGATCATTAGAGGAGCTGAGGAAAGCATACACCTGCGAGCGAATGAAAGCTGGGCTCATGTTGGCCCTGGGGGCGCCGCCTTCCTCAACGACCTGCCTGAGTGTTTCTCCATCTTTCTCTCCCGGAACAGCCTCCGTTCGACGGCGAGGATGAGGACGAGCTTTTCCAGTCTATAATGGAGCACAACGTTTCTTACCCCAAATCCCTGTCCAAGGAGGCCGTCTCCATCTGCAAGGGGGTAAGTGCACGGGCTTTGTTTTACGATGGCGGACGGGAAGGACGGACGGACGGGAGCTTCTTCCCACACGTCTCAGCAAGCGGGCACAGCTACCCTGCCGCTGCCGCCCGCCTTCCCGGGCAAGAGCCTGGTGACCTGCAGGGCGTGGTGGGCAAAGCGGAGCCTGGAACACGGGTTGGCACCCCAACACCTCCCGAAACTCAGTGGCTTTAGTTTGCCATCCTTCCCCCCGCCCCCCATGAAGTTGTGGTGCGGTGTGGCAAGTGATCACAGACCCTTAGAACGCGTTAGTTCTCCTCCGTACGCGGCGGTTAGTGCTGAGTCCATTCCTGTGTTTTGAGATGTAATACGCATGTGGAAAAGGGCGCTGTCAGCAGTGTGCAGCCAGCGAATGGTCACAAAATGGACACATGTGCCCAGCACCTCGAGAGCTGCCCCTGTCCCGCCCGGCAGTCACACACACACACACACACACACACACACACACACCGTCACTGCATGCCTTCACTGTGCCTGTTTTGAACTTTGCACACATGGGTCTTGCCGTGGATGCTCCCTGGGCCTGGCTTTTCCCCTGACCTTGCGATGGTGAGATCTCTCCACGCTGCTGGGCGCGGTGGAAGCCCATCTTCCGCTTGGCTGCGGGGTATTCCGTTGGGTGGACGTGCCGCTCCCTGTGTGTGCACTCTGCTGGTGGGCGCTCGGTCGGCTGCTCTCTGGTGAGGGGCTGCTACAAATGCACTGCCATGAGCCTTATGGGGCATGGGTTTTGAGGAGCATGTAAATGAAATCTCCTGCTTACTTATCCAATTTGACTAAGGAACAATCCTATATAATAAAAGGCTCATATGCAAATCAACCGAATGGCGGAACGACCGGTCACTATAATGCGCACTGACCACCAGGAGGCAGACGTTCAATGCAGGAGCTGCCCCTTGGTGGTCAGTGCGCTCCCACAGGGGGAGCGCCTCTCAGCCAGAAGCCAAGCTCATGGCTGGCAAGCACAGCAATGGTGGTGGGAGCCTCTCCCACCTCTGGGGCACACTGAGGACCCCTCGGGGATGTCCGACTGCTGGCTTAGGCCCGGTGCAGGCCGAGCTGAGGGACCCTCCCCTCCAGTGCACAAATGTCATGCACCGGGCCTCTAGAAAACAAATAAAATTGTAATATATTTAAAGTGTACAGCAGGATGAGGTGATAGATGTACGCACTGGCCATTTGTATCCACGGGTTCTGCATCCGTGGATTCAACCAACCACAGATCGAACATATTTCTTCAAAAAAGCGACATGGTTGCTGACATGTACTGTGGAAGGAGGCCTACGATGGCTGTGTCTATGCTGAACATACAGAGACATTTTTTTCTTGTCATTATTCCCTACAATACAGTATAAGTGCTATTTAGATGGCATTCACATTGTGTCAGGTGTTAGTAACTGGGGGATAATTTAAACTATATGGGCGAATGTGTGCAGGTTATATGCAAACACCGCGCCTTTTCTATGGGCATCCGTGGATTTTGGTATCCACGAGGGGTCCTCGAGCTAATCCCCGTGGACACGGAGGGATGACGGCACCTTAGGAGAGGAATCCCACCGTCACGCTAGCTCGTCCATCACCTCACGGAGCCCCGCTTTTTCCTTCTGTGGAGAGAGAGCACTTGAGTCTTCTCTCTCGGCACGTTTCAGTCGTACGGCACATCCTATCAACTGCAGTCCCAGGTCACGCATCCGACCCTCTCTCCTGCCTTCCAGCTGATGACCAAGCACCCGGGCAAGCGGCTGGGCTGCGGGCCCGAGGGCGAGCGAGACGTGCGCGAGCACGCCTTCTTCCGGAGGATCGACTGGGAGAAGCTGGAGAACAGGGAGATCCAGCCGCCCTTCAAGCCCAAAGTGGTGAGTCGGGGCGCCGCCGCTTTCTGGGCCCCGGTCCCCCAAATCCTGTGGGTCTCCCCCACCCTTTTCCCGGAGCGAGGATGGCAGCGACCCCGGGATGCTGCAGGCGGAAATGGCCAGTGCCCGCCTTGCCCTCCGCTCTGTGTCTGAGCCCCTCAGCATTCCTGCTGGCTTTGAGAGTCAGGACAGATGGGCAGCGAGGGGAGCCTGTGTCCACCGTGCACTCCAGCAGGGCGATGGCCAAGCAGCCCCAGAGGCGGTGGAGAGCCGGGCAGGGCTGCTTGGTTTGATGTCATGGTCCGTGTTCCTTGCTGAGAGGCCTCGGCAGGCTTCTCCGTGGCTCCGGTTGTCCTGGGCTTGCCTGGCACCCGGAGCTGAACCCGTGGGCAGGCCCTGGGCGCCGGTCTCACGTTGGCTGCTGCCCCTGCTGCAAGGGGTGTATCAGCCACCATGTTTGGTGTCGCCATCTTTATTCAGACTCTTCCTATAGGGCCCCCACTCTCTCCATTTATTTAACAAATACCACGCCCCAGACCCTGTCCTGAGGGCTTACACCGTCGTTCATTTAACCCTGAGGGTGGGTACTGTCGCTCCCAATAACAGTTGAGGAAACTGAGGCTCAGAGAGGCTGAATGACTTGCCTGAGGACACACAGCTGGCAGGTGGTAGGACGAGGGTTAGGACTTGGTATTCTGGCTCCTGGATCCATGTCCTCCCCCACCACACCCCTCCCTCCCCGCTCCGCCTCGAGGGCTGCCCCCGCCAGCACTCTGCGAGCGGCGCCTGCTCCTGCCTTTCTGAATGTTCCTGTCTCTGGAGGTAAAGTGCCTCCAAGCCTCCTCGCTCCTGCACTGCCACGTGGCAGGGCCTCTAAGGAGGCTGTCTCTCTGCACCCGTGTCTGAAGCCGGGTGGGTCTGTGCTGCAGCTCGGTGGGCACCTCCGCCAGCGATGCTGACAGGTGGCATGATGGCACGGGCGCCTCTGCTGGCGGTGCAGACAGGCGGCATGATGGCACAGTCGGTTTCAGAGGCGGTCCCGGGGCTGGCTCGGCCCAGATCTGCCTCCAGACAGATGCCTCCGGACCAGGCCGAGGGGGTCTCTGGGTGGCTGGGTTACTGAGTGGAAGGCACACGGCTTCCTCGTCGAACGTGCTCACGCGTCCTCCACCCCAAGAATGAAGCCGCGGACAGCCAGTGGGTTTATGGTGCCGAGGCATTGTTAGCACGAACTGGAGAAACACTGACATTCATGAGGTCAGTGCCTTTCTCCTGAGTCATCATCTCAGGTGGGAGCCTTATGCACCTGCCGCCCCACCTCCTCCCCAGCCAGTCCCGGCGCCCTGAGCTCCAGGTCGCAGAGCCTGGTCTGAAGGGGGCGGGGGATGAGGACAGCGAGGAGGGATGCTGGGGGCGGTCTCAGCAAAACCCTGTTGGGGGTTTTCCTTTGTCCCTTTCATCATTACCTACCCCCTGACATGGAACATGAAAGGTGCACCCTCACGTCGCACCCGCAGCCTCGCTGCCCCGGCTCGAGGTGTCAGCAAAACCCCTTCCCAGAACAAGCCGAGACACAGCCAGACCCTCACACACACCTCTCTGTCCCCACCTCGCTGTCCGAGGAGAGTGCTGTTCTGCAAGGGCTTCCGCCTTCCGTGGGTGCTCAGCCCTGGACTCAACGTCAGGGAAGTGAGAACATAACTGGCGAGGCAGCCAGGAGTTCCAGGTGGCCCCAGGGCCGTGGGAATCACTGGGTGTGTAGTCCGGCAGTGGAGCCGCAGGCAGTGTGTGTGTGTGTGTGTGTGTGTGTGTGTGTGTGTGTTCATTCCTGAGGCCCTGCTGTCTGTTCGGTTTCTAACCAAGTGCCCGTTAAAATAAAAAGCCAGTCACCTCTGGCTGTGAAGGGACGGCCCAGAACTCACCAACAGGAGCAGAAAGCATGGCCGAGACCCCGACACTGACGGCTTTGATGGAAAGGCCTGTTTGGCGAGAGCCCTGGCCAGAAGGAAGAAAGAGGCCTTACGCGCTCACAACGGATTCCTCGGGCAGACGCCCATAGCCCACCAGGGGCCCTCAGCCCGCGGGGACCTGTGCGCAGGAGGAAGGAGCTAGCGGCGTGCAGGGGGGCAGAGATGGAGCCGCCAGGGAGAGGAAGACACCCATGGGGTTAGGAGCAAGTGGCCGTAGGACTGCGCAGCCGACTCTGTCCCAAAGCAGCTGAGGACCCAGAGGTGGGTGAGGAAAGTGCTGGTCCCTGGGCGGCTCCGTCCCCCCTGCACGCTCGGTGGGCAGAGTTGGCTCTGAGCCCCGGGTGCGGGGAGCCCGCGCTGATTGTGTGGTGCCTAGAGCAGAAAGACCACATGCCAGCGACAGGAGAGAGCCACCCAAGTCCAGGTGTCGTCCCGGCTGCAGCGTGCACTGGGTGGACACAGCAGTGGAGGGAACTGATGAGGAGACAGGCTATCCTGTGATGTTATCATCAGGTCCAAAGCATCTACGGAGAAAATACAAAGCCGGACCTTCTCTGCAGGCAGTTTTGTTGCTGCAAAGATCTGGCAATACCAGCCGTGCTGCTGCTGCTGCTGCTGGAAAAACCAATCCGGCCGCCACATTGCAGCCAGAGGCTGCCTTAGCCTGTGCAGCCAGCCCCGCCCGAGCCCCTCTCCTGGTCCAGCCGGCAGCCCTGGCGGAAGGAGCTGTCTGTCTGGGAGTTTGCCTGGGCCTTTTTGAGGCAGCGCCTGGGACTCAGTTTCCCTGAGGCTGAGCAGATGGAGGACGCTCCTGGCTCCCTGTGAGCCCGAGCCTGTGGGTATTGCAAAGGCCTCGTAAGACCTGAGCCCCCTCGGTTACCCCAGGGGCTGCAGGGGTCGTTGTTGTGCTCCTAAGCTCAGAAGTGTTATCTTCCTTATATTTGGTTATATTTGAACCTCCAAAGAGAGATGACCCCCGAACTCCTGGCTTCCCTAAGCGAGCGGAGGATTCTGTCACTGCACCACACAGAGCTCATCGGAGGACCCGGGTTCCCTCCGTGCTCCGTCTTTCTTCATTTTCCTGCCGGGCACAGTGACATGGCTGACATGAGCCCAGGGGCCCCTTGAAGGCAGATTCCCCCCCGACAGGGACACGTCACGCTGAGTTGGATCCATCCAGAGGCTCTAGGCAGGACTTTCGATGGTGCGGCCGCGGCCTGGATTCTCTCTCTTTTTTAAAAAAAAAATAGTTTTTAAATTGATTTTTAGAAAGAGAGGAAGGAAGGAGAGAAAGAAACATAGATGTGAAAGCAACATTAATCAGCTGCCTCCTGCACACCCCTCACCAGGACAGAGCCCACAACCCAGGCCCGTGCCCTGACCAGGAATCGAGCTGGCCACCTCCCTGTGCATGGGATGGTGGGCAACCCCCTGAGGCACCGGCCAGGGCACCGGCCAGGGCCTGGATTCTCTCTGAGGCGGAGCAGAAGGAGGGAGTGACCGAGTCAGGTGTGGAACGGTGGGCATCTCCCCTGAGATTGGCTGGTCTGGAGCTCACACGCAGGCACGGGGGCCGTGGGGAATGAGGCTCGGCCAGAGGGACAGCCTGCGCTGCGGCGGCCCCTTGTGGGGAGGCCCGTGTGGAGGTGGCGGTGGAGGGGATTTTCTAGAGCAAGGGGTGATCGCCGTGACCTGGAGGTTTTGTACAAGAAAAGCAAGAACAGAAACTGCCGTTCTGCCCTCCTGGGTGTGAGGCCGCACAGAGCTCTCCCTCGCTGTGGAAAAAGCAACAGCAAGCTGCTCGCTTCCCTCCAAGAAAGCCCAGCCCAGAGGGCCCCTGCCCCGGCACCAGACCGTCCGCTCAGCATTTGGCCAAAGTTCCGAGCGAAAACAGGCCCGATCAGACGGTCCCTCGGAAGAAGCTGCCTTTTTACTTTTAGGTTTAACGAAGAGGTCACCCAGCAAAGGTGAATACTTCATTTCTGAAGGGGACACACACACACACACACACACACACACACACACACACGTGCACACGTATGTTTTCCTGAATCATGGGAGAGTCAGTGGCAAACCTAATGCCTCTTCACATCTGATGCCTAAAGCAAAGGGCATTCCAGGTGCCTATTCTGCCCCTGCCAGGGGGAGGGGAGGGGGCAGACAGCCCTGCGGGGCTGTCTGAGCCATCACCCGGATGCAGCCTGGGCTACATCCAATCAGGTCCGGGCAGCGGGAGGCGCATTGTCCTGGCCTCTCCGTGGAACCAGCAGCCCAGCAGCAGTGACACTAACTAAAGGTGAGCCCCGGACAGACGCGGGAGCTTCTCGGCACCATAGCAACACGCACAGCCATCAGGGCCAGAGGTTCGGCCACATCCTGATGCACAGAAGGCGCACTGAAGCCTTCAACCAGCCTACGACAGCACTTTCTACTCCGTTAATTAGAGGCGAGAAGGCTTCCTTTCCCCGGTAATTACCCTCCCACAGTCGGTTCTGCTCGAAAGAGACACGGGAAGCAGCGTGGCCTTTAGAAGAGAGACCCACAGCGGCCACAGGTCCGGTGCAAGCCTCCGGGAGCTCCGTGGGAGTGGGGGCGGCAGGCCCTGTGCGCCTGGCGTCGTGCGAGCTGACAGGCTCCCAGTGTCACTGCGGTGGCTCCTTCTGGGAAAGGAGCCCGATCAGCCGGAGCCGGCCACCTGGGAAGGCCAGCCCGGCCAGTGGGCTGATGTTTAACATCGACCCAAGAGCCAGGAGGTCACAGTTCGATTCCCAGTCCAGGCACATGCCCAGGCTGTTGGCTTGATCGCCAGTGTAGGGCGTGCAGGAGGCAGCGATCCATGATTCTCTCATCATTGATGTTTCTATCTCTCTCTGCCTCTCCCTTCCTTTCTGAGATGAGTAAAAATATGTTTAAATATCAACAATAAAGGGAGGCCAAATGGAGGGCATGTTGTCATTCCATAGAACAAGCCAAGGGTCAGCAGGATCTCGGCCCCGAGAACCTGCTCATTTACCGTGTGCCTCACAGCCTGTGTCCGTCAGCAAAACCGCGGCCTCCTGACCGGGACTGGCCTTTCTGAGCGTGGCTCTGAGGCGACCGGGGAGATGAACACGGTTTCATTTTGTCTGAGAAGCCACAGCCTGGCTCGTCTCTCGCCACAGGTGACGGCAGCAGGTGAAGGAGGCCCCACCCCCTTTATAAAGTTACTCTCTGAACACCAGCTGCAGGTGGTGAACTAGACGGCTCAGCAGCAGGGAGGGTCCTAAAACAAAGACACCATCTCCCATCCCAAGCCACTATCCCCAGGGTTCACGTCTGTTCTGTAACCTCCGAAAAGTGGTACACGCGTGTGCATCTACACCCACATGGGGCCGCACCACGCCGCCTGGCTCGCACCTTATGGCTCTCTCAGGACAGCAGACCTCACAGGCGTCTCCACGGGTTTGTGGCATCCTGTACACACCAGGGTTCCGGGGCCGGGCACTGGCTGTTCCAAACGCTCTCCCTGTCCGTTCTTATTCTCCAGGCCTTCTGCACCAAAACACTCTGGCTGCAGTGGGCATCCCGGCCCTCGGTGAGCACACCTCACGTTCAACCCTCGGCGCCTGCCCCTGCTTGCGCTGGCCGTGCACGGAAGACCCCCCCCCCCCCCTGAGCATGCTGACTTAGAGAGGCCAGGCCAGGCTGCTGCCCCATGGCCTGGCTTCCTCCCTGGGTGGCTCCGTAGAGTGGATCTGACCTCCTGGGAGGCCCAAAGCAGACAGTGTCCACTCATCTCTGTTGTTTAATCCCATGGAGACGACATCCACCCGGGGCAGGGGCCATGCGCAGACATGGGAGCGTTCTTACTAACACTGCGTGCACCGGGACCCGGCACAGGGCTGCGGGCTTGACATGTGAGCGCGGCTCCCCTAAGACCAAACACATCCTGCTGCCTCGTAGTCATCAGCCAGGGTCCCACCTGGTGGGTGTCCCTCCTCCTCCCCGTCGCTACACGCCTGTTCTCTCGGTTAATTGCGTGCTCTTCTCGCTCTTCGGGGCTTTGTGTGGATTTGCTTGGAAATGGCAGTGTTTTCTTGCTACTCACACTCCCGTGACCCTGCCGGGGACCCTGGGTTAGAGTCTCATGCCCGGGCACCGAGGGGAAGGGCAGGGTCCTTACCCAGTGGCCTCTCCCAGGTCAGACCCACCTCCCCTCCGAACACTGGGAAGAGTCTGTGGTCTGGCCACACACCAACTAGCTCATCCTTGCATTCACCACACCCCGCTCGCCGTGCCCCCCGCATGCTCTCTCTGTGCCCCCTCTTCCTTCCTCAGCTCCAAGGTGGCGCCTGGCCCGCTGCCCGCGGCTGACGGCTGTGAGGAAGGTTGGCTCTCAGGGGGCAGGCAGGATCCTTTCTCCCTCCAAACACAGCTCCTCGGAGCCACGGTGGCCTCTCCCCCAAGGACCCCAAGGGCACGGACCCCACCCTCCTTCTGGGGGTGGTGGTGTGGGCAAGCACAGGTGGGTCAAGCCCTGGCCAGTTTGGCTTCATGGTAAGAATGTTGGCCCGAGGACTGAAGGGTCCCCGGTTCCATTCCTGTCAGGGGCACATGCCACGGTTGCAGGTTCCCCAGCTCCAATAGGGGTGAGTGTGGGAGGCAGCCAATCATTGTCTCTCTCATCTCTCTCCCTCTCCCCCCCCTCTTTCTCTCTCTCTCTCTTTCTCTTCCTCCCTCCTTTCCCCCGCCCCCCCCCCCGCCCCGCCTCCCTTCCATTCTCTCTATAAATCACTGGGGGGAAATATCCTCCGGTGAGGATTGAAGAAAAAAGAAAAGCAGGCAGTTGAAGGTCTGCTCCAGTATGACCTAGAGAGCGTGCCTGTCCCCAGGCCAGTTTCTCGGGGGAGGGGGGGACTGGGTTTGGGCATGAAGAGCCCCCTGTGGTGGAGAAACAACGAGCACGGCTCCTCCCAGGGCGGAACCGCTGGTAAAAATAGCCATGCCCCCGCTCCCGCTCCGCCCCCATGGGAGAGCGTGACGTCTTTCTGGTGTGACCCCCCTGAGAACAGCCACCCCTCCTGTGTCCTCCGTCCTCCGTCCTCGGGGTCCGCCTCCCGCTCTCCAGGCTTCCTCCGGGGGCACACGAGGCACAGCCAGAGGCTGGTCCTTCATCCTGCCCTCTGCCTCCTGCCTCAGGTGCCCCGTCCCAGGCATCCTCTCCTGAAGGAGCGGTTTCCATCTGCCCACATCCTGTTTCTCCCTCTGGGATCAGGAAAACTCCACGGAGACTGGGAACCGGAAAGAGAAGGGAGCGGTTTGCGGGGGCGAGCAGCCCGGAGGCCTGCGGGCACGCTCCCGTGGGCGGTGATCCAGGGCAGAGCTCCGGGTGTCCTGGGCTCCTCCTTGCCCCTGGCGCCGTCCGTGGTCAGTGGCTGGCGTGAGGCCTTCAGAAGTGGGGGTTCTGCCCTGGGTGTGGCAGCACGTGGCCCCTAAGCGAGCCCTCAGGAGTTCCAACAGCTTTAGAACTCGATGCCCTGGACCGTCCGTCCCCTCCCCAGGCTTCTGTGGGCCGCCTTTTAGATCTTGGGAGCTCTTCCTTCAGGGGTGTGCGTGCGTGCGTGCGTGCGTGCGTGTGTGTGTGTGTGTGTGTGTGTTGATTTCAGAGAGAGACGGGGAGAGACATCAATGATGAGAGAATCATTGACCCGCTGTCTCCTGCACACCCCCTACTGGGGAGCAAGCCTGCAACCCAGGCGTGTGCCCTGAGCGGGAATCCAGCCACGGCCTCCTGGCTCGTGGGTCAGTACTCAACCACGGAGCCCTGTCAGCAGGTGGGTTTTCTCACTCCCTGTTCTGTGGCAGCTAAGGGCTGGCTTTGGACTTCTCTCTGGAAGAGGTGTGGTCCTCCAATGCTGCCAAGATGGTACTCACAGGAAAGGTCAGACCCGCGTGATCTTTCCACACAAGTCCAGAGCAAGATGGGGAGACCCCAGCCAGCAGAGAAACGTTTGATGCCCTGGACCGGCTTGCCTTCCTTTTCCTTTTAGAGACGTCCCCTTCCTTTCCGTCGTCCCAGGAGTGCCTCTTGCCCATCTCTGCCTGGTTAGTGAACAGCAAAAGGCCTGCAGGTGATTGCTCCTCCAGGGAGCACGGCCCCAGCCCCTAGAGACTCACTGAACGGTGTCCATCAGCCAGGTTCCCAGAGGACGTTCTCCTTGAAGCCAGCCCAACTGCGGCTAGAACGCTTGCACTGCGGGCTTCGAGGCTTGTCCCTTCTCTGCTCGCAGACGCCGTTCCTGCCTGATTTCCTTGTTTGAACTCAGGTCCATGTCCACCTGGCTACGCCATCTTGGTGTCAGCGCTGCTGACATGTCGGACCAGGGTGCTCACTAGAGGCCAGTGACACCCCTGGCCCGAGTCATGATAACCAAAAACGCATCCAGACATTGCCCAGTGACCCCAAAAAGGAGGTGGGGTGCAGAGCTGTCCCTGGTTGAGAACCCCTGGTCCATCCCAAGGAGGGCTGTTCCTCTAGCTGTCACCGCAGCCGCGTGTCTGCATGTGTGTCTCAGCCTCCACAGGGTGGCTCTGCTTGCAGCCCGTCTGCCCTGAGAAACATCCCCACAGACAGCCAGCAGGCTCTGCTCTGCATCCTCTGGGCACTCCAGCCTGAGGCCCCTGCACACAAACTCCATGTCGACCCATGCGCTGGCGGACCAGATCCATCCAGACACGCAGAAGTCCGCCTGTGCCCTGGGGGTGTACCCGTCCTTGCCTTCACCGGTCCCCCGTCCTCCCCCTGCAGTGTGGGTCAGGGACGGGTCTAGGGACGGGTCTAGGGGGTGAGCAGTTGGAAGACACGAGTCACAGTGCCTTTACTTCATTACAAATACGGTCACAGAGAAGCCTCCGAGTCTAGGTGTCACTGCCTGCACCCCAACCATGTCCCAGCCTTTCACATGGAACCAAGACTGATGTGTGGGGGTGCAGGCCTCGCATGCATGTGTGTGTGTGTGTGCTTGTGTGTGTGTGTGTGTGTGTGTGTGTGTGTGTGTGATCCATGCTCAGGCCCTGCTTGCTCTGTAAGATGGACTTAAGCAGCGGCCCCCTTGGGTCACCTCACTGTCCACCGTGCACTTCCGCTGAGGGGTTCACTGTGGTCAGGGGGTGAAGACGCACACCTGAGCGAGTCTCCTCCTTGTTGGCTGTGCCTGGCTTTCCATCCAGCGGCCTGCAAGCCTCCGAGTTCTCCCGCCTAACCTGCCCGCCGCCCCAACGGCTCCTCCCCGCGGGGCGCCCCGCGCCCCCGCACCCCGCGGGTTTACTGACCCCCCTCCTCTGCTCTCCCTCCGCAGTGCGGCAAAGGCGCGGAAAACTTCGACAAGTTCTTCACCCGCGGGCAGCCCGTGCTCACGCCTCCCGACCAGCTGGTCATCGCTAACATCGACCAGGCCGACTTCGAAGGCTTCTCGTATGTCAACCCCCAGTTCGTGCACCCCATCTTGCAGAGCCCCGTATGAAGCTCGCCTGCGACAACCAACGCCTCCCCACCCCCGCCCCCCCTACCCCTTCCCCGCTGCGGGGACGTGACCTCCACCCTGACACTGCGAGGCCCAGGCCTCGCTTCTCGTTCCAGACGGAGGCCAGCGAGCCCCTCGGTGGTTAGTCCGCACGTGACCTCCCCGAGGTCCGGGCCTCTCTCTGAGAACCAAGAGCCGCGTCTTAGCAGAAGAGAACCCAGAGCTCCGGGTCCAGTCTTGCACGGTGTGGAGGCCGCCTCCGGCCGCAGGGTCGCCCTTCCTGGAAAGCAAACAGACTCTTGCCCCTTTTTGGTACGATTTGATATACTTACCCCCTCCCGTCCTGTCCGTCGGCGTTCACCATCAGCATCCTGCCCCCCCACCCCCACCCCAACCAGAGATGCGGGCTGGATAGGGCCCCACCCAGGCGCCTTGGGAAGGAGACGGGGACCCCCGAGAGGAGAGGGCGAGCCGGGCGGGTGGGGGTGAGCCGGCGCGGGGCACCTGCCCTTCGCTTTCCCTGGGAACAGTCGCCCGGTGCCAGCTCGCTGCTCCCAGATGTGGACAGTCATCGCCCCGCCACGGCCCAGCGGCGACCAGTTATTTTTCTTAAGAAAAGAGAGGGAGAAAGGAAACCTCGGGCAGGCGTTGTTGTCGGTGGATCTGTCGTCTGGCACCCACGCGTGGTCGCTTCCCGTCGCCACGACGCCTGCATTTCTTTGCAAGAGGCCAAACCTTCTAAGGACTCCGCTGAACGAGCACAGGGTGTCAGAGGACCGACGGGTGCGTGCGCACGTCCGCCGTAACCTCCGGGAGATGGCGCCGTGGTCCGGTCCGGGGTGCCATCCGCAACACTGCCACGCACCAGTGTTGTCCGCCAACCCTCCGCCCCCCCGCACACACCCACGTGCCGCTGCCTGCTTCCCAGGGAGCGAAGGGTACGCCCCGTCCCGTCCCTTTTGTATTTATTTATGGACTAGGCCGTCGTGGCGTTTCGGGGAAGACGATGTACAGGAACTTAAAAGTGTTTGCTTGAGACTCGGTTCCTCCCGAGGGACTTCTCTCCCGTCTGTCTCCGGCCCTGGCACCCCCTGAGGAATGGAAAGCGATCCAACTCCGGCCCCCATGTCCGGCTTGTGGTGCAGAGACAGGAAACCTGGCTGCGAGATGCTTCCTTGCGAGAAGGGTTTTGCTATGTTTTGCAGAGGCATCATTGCAACGGAGTCTGCATGTTTATAACAAACCTTCATCCCCCGTGAGTCTCTATCACTGATATAAGCATATCATCAAGCATAAGGAGAGTATTACCATCCCTTCACAAGAGAAAACTGTGCTACATTCGTGAAGGCTCTTGTTTCTCATCTGCTTCTGTGATTAGGTTTTAGTACATTCGCTGCTTCCTCTCCCCCGACCCCACCTGCCCCCTGAACATGGCCTCTGTGTTGGGCATTCTGATTTTTTAACCTAGATCGAATTTCAGAAATGAATGGCCATTTTACCTGATTAATCAGACATATGTGTGTGTGTATATATATATATATATATATATATATATATATATATATGTCTATTTGAGTCTACCTGCAAACACACGCTTTGGGGTTATTGTTGGGATGAGACTGTCTTGGCTCCTTCGCGCCGGCTTCTGAGTGGGGTCCGCCCCTCTTGCTCCTGGGGCGGCGGGGATGTCGGACTCCGGTGGGAGCAGAGGTGGTGAGATCACAGCCCTCTCCTGACTCCCGGGAGCAGCTCCAGGCTGAGGGCCTCCTCCGCTTGGTTCTGCTGTTTGCCTGATGCTAGCGGGACGCAGGGGCTTTGAGGGGAGGCCCCGTCTGTCCTGGGGAGGAAGGGAAGGGTGGGGAGCAGGGCAGCCCCGGAGAGAGCCACTCCTCAGCCGCCCCAGGTGGACCATAGAGTCAGAGCAGCGGTCCTGCTGGTCGGCACACGTGTGGGGGTCGCGCCCCTCAGTTTGATCTGGCAGAAAAGGGACCAGTTTATAGAAGGAGCCTAAGAAGCAGAAGAGCCGGTCACTGTGGCCAGAATGGAGCTGAGGGAAGGAAGGTCCCAGAAATGTCCTCGGGCTACACATTACTCATCCGGAGCCCCGAGCCCTCGCCCCTTCTGTGCTCAGCCTGACTCCTTTCTCCAGGAAACACACACACCTCTCAGCTGCCCGCGTCCTTTCCTGACCTGTGCCGTTTCCAAAGAAAAGGCCCATCTGCGGACCCGCACTGCGCCCGAGACGGCAGGCTGGGGGCCAGGCAGAGAGGCTGCCCCTGACCCGGCCTGCTTGGTGTGTTGCTGTGTCTGGATCTCGATACAGACTCCTGCTTGGAAGGTTCTGGAGCCCAAAATAGTCACTGTGGGAAGAACAAGTCACGCGGAAACCATTCCCAAGCTCGCAGCCACAGCGCCTATGGAATCCCATGGCGTCCTGCGCGTGAAGGCCCAGCAGCCTGTGGGGCTGGAGCGAGGAGGACCTTCCGGGTGACGGGGAGCTCTGGGAGGTCCAGCCAGAATCGCCAGGGCCTGTGGAGGCCCGGCACGGTCGAATCTAACAGAATCCGAGCCTCCACCGAAAGGCCGAACAGGGCCCTGCGGTAGTGCCTTCTCTGCATCTCAGCGAAAGCCGCCAGGTGTTTGGTTTGAATGGAAGGCTCTGGAGTGTAGCCGCCGGAGTTCACGGGAGGTTCACTCAAGGCAAGAACTGACTCCAAAGGCTGATGAAGGACTGCTCGCCACACGTCCATGCAGCACCGCTGTCTGTCTGTCCTCGTGAGGCTTCTTATTGGGATTTTGGTGGAAAATCAGAAGGGTGGGAGCTCTCTGGATATGACCCGAGACTGCAAGACCGGGGTGAATGCAGCCCACACGTGACCTCTGAGCAGACCCTAAAGGGACATGTTCTGAGAAGCGAGGGTTGGCGGAGGCAGAGGCGGGGGAGGCATTGGGAGAAGAGCAGGGTTTCAGTGCGTCCGGAAGGAGGCTTGCCAAGGAGGAGGAGAGGGCACCTGGGGTGGGGGAGGGGGGGGCGGGGAGAAGCTGTTCCGTTCCCAGGGCTTCCATCAAGGTCACTGGTGCAGAAGGAATGCTGCTGGCTGGCCCTGGAGAGCGAGTTCATTTCCAGGGACGTAGCCTGGTCCTCACAGAGCAGCTCCCAAATGCCAGCAGCATCCTCACCAGCCGAGTCCTGCGTGGGAGTGGCTGAGCCCAAACCACCCACCTGCCCTGGAAGCCAGCAGGTCGCACCTTCTCCCCCGGGCGCCACCAAGCACAGGGCACAGGGCACAGGGCAGCCGGGGAGGTTGGGGGAGTCACCCAAACTAACAGTGGCCCCCGCCTGATCCCACTTGGCAAGGGAGTTTGATTTCTGTTTTTAGGGGTTTTTGCTGGGATTTACTTTCTCTCTGCTGCAGAGAAAAGAAAGCAAGCGTCTTATGTTTTTAGAAGAAGCAGGAAGTCACTGCCCCTGACAGTCATTCTCACTTGGGTCTGACGGAGTCACCTATTTCTCGCGTGTGCCGTTCACGCCATTTCCTGTTTCTCTAAAACCGGCAAAGGGGGAGTGCTCCCCCACCGAGCACACCAAATAATCGTGATCTTGACACAGGTGGGCGCTGAGCGAGCAGCGACGGCCAGCAGGTTGTGGAAGAAGGGGGCGGGGTGTAGGGCCTGCGCCCCGGCCTGACAGCGAGCTGGGAAGTATTTTAAACACCTTCTTCTCAAAGCTGCTCGGGTGACATCTTGTGACATACAGCCGACCATCCACACGTCCGTCTTTTCCCATCTGGGCTGGTGCAGCCCGTCTGGGGACTCTGTCTATTCCTGCTGTGAGGAGATGCAGGAAAGGTTCCCTGAGGTGGACATGGATGAAGGCCATGGTCACGGTGACCACAGCCCCATGAATTCTGTGATGCCCTGGACTCTCGGAGGGTTCCCTGTGCCTCTGCCTGTGAGCAAGTGCCCATCAGTCACCCTGGAGGCGGGTCTCGGTCATCCAACAGCCTTACGACGCCCCCACACTAAGGCCCCCGGGTTCCAAAGACCTTTTTTAAAAAACCTTAAGGGAGACATTAACTCCACGAGAACAACTGGGCGTGCTGGGCTCTTTGTACTTTTTTATAGAGAACTTTAATAACTCCAGCCTTCTTTTAAAATGAGTTTTTAAAATACAACCACTGACAATTTGATAAGACTCCCATCGCGCGCTCCGCTCCCTGCCGGAGGGCCCAGCGGTGGGCAGCTGGAGCAGCCCCCGCCTGCACTCCCACGCGGGTGTCCCCGCGCCCGTGCGGTGCGGCGACCTCCTCAGAATGACAGGAAGTCCGGGTGGAGCATCTGGCAGATGGACACCCTCCGAATTTGTCACAGACCCTGGGGACAGCCGTCTACGACCTAGGAACTCGTAAGCCCTCAAAAGATGGCTTCCTTGTCCCTCTCCAGATGCAGCCCTCGGATAGCTCCCAGGGTCCCTGAGCCTTCTCCTTGCTCTGCATGGCTCTGAGACCACCCTTTGGCCGGGAGAGAGGGTGCTTCCTCAGCTCTGTCTCCAGTCCCTGGGGGGTCCCCAGGCTCCTCACACTCGGTGAAACATCAGAGACGTCCCCTAGGGACTCTGCCCACCGGGCAGCTCAGACACAGGTCAGCATCCCTGAGAAGGAAGAGGCGGCACCTGGTGCCCTGGCTTCGTGCAAAGTCCTTCCCTGTGTGCGTGGACAGGGCCCCCCTTTTCAGAAAATAACTATCCAGTCCACTTTATAAGAACCTTTTCTTCTACAGTAAGACAGAGGGTGGCTTCGCGCTTTCCAACTAGACAGCGGCGTCCGCGTCTCCCCTGCGTAACCCTGGAGGGATCCCAGGAGGGTCCGCAGCGTGTGCTGATGCTCTTCCCGGGAGAATCCGTTCTTTCCCCGAGGGGGCCAGTGGGCACAAAGTCACCCATGAAAACGGTTATCCTTTTAGGTCCAAAGGGTCTAAAAACTCACCTCGTATTCCCTTCTCTTAGGGTATTTCAGAATAACTTTTCTAGATGGTCAGAAACATTTGAAATCATTGCTTTTGCTACGTAATTTCATGTGTGTGTGTGTGTGTGTGTGTGTGTGTGTGTGTGTGTGTGTGTGTGAAGGACCTGCCATGTGTGAAGCGTTCATTGGAAACCATCGCGTAAGACCCCAGGTTCGCGGGAAGGAGGAAGACAGAGACGGGGGCGGAGGTTTCTCTCTTCTGTATCAGCACCTACCCACAGCTGTAGGCCGTCCGCTGCCAGCAGGCGCTGGGGGTATCGCGGGCGAGATGAATGTACAAATTACTGCATTGCTTTCCTCGATTCATATGACCTCTAACCTTTGTTTGCATGACATGCTTTGTTAGGTACATTATTAAGTGTGTATGAATAAATATAATGATCATTCCTTCGTGTACTTGGTCTCATTGGCATCCTTGGTGTTACCCGAGCCGTTACTGTGTCACGGCCCGTGCCCTCGAGGTGTTCACCAGCTCAATTAAAGACACCAGATGTACGCGCCAGGATTAATTAAAGACCAGGTCTCCAAGGCTTCTGCCGAGCTCGTGCCCAGGGAACCCACGTTCCCGTCTCTGCCATCGGCCCAGCCGCTGGAGCCCGAGGCCACCTGTCATCCGTCACACAGAGAGAGGGGTGCCAGCCACAAGCTCCCCTCGGCCTCTCGCGGGCCCTGGCAGTGGGGTTGCAGCCCAGCTGAGATGCTGATGCACGCGGCACAGGCAGAGGTTATCTGTCTCACATCGTGTCCCGTCTGAGAGCCCGCACCACGGGGAGCAAGGCCGAGGCTGCAGGGAGGGTGCCAGAGTGCTTTTGGCTCCGAGGAAGCAGAACTGGATGTCTCCCCAGGATTCTTCTTCTTTTTTTTTTTTTTTTTTTCACAAAAGCTAATTTGAAAAATACATTGCAGAGAGGCTTGTTCTAGACGAGAGAGGGGAAAGGACAATATGGTTCCAGAGACACACAAGAGCCGGTGATGGGCTCAAGGACTCAGATGCAGGTGAAAATGGTAAAGAAAGAAAAAACAGAATGCCGATTATAAACACGTACACACACACACACACACACACACACACACACACACACACACTGATGAGTATGCTAGGTACTTTTCTGGTACTTTACATGCATTTATTTAAAGTCCACAGAGACCGCTCGAGGTAAGTCCTCCTTACTGTGCCCATTTTACAGGAGAGGAAAGGTGAGACCAGAAAGGTCAAATAACAATTCCTGGGTGAGCTACACTGGACAGACTGAGCCACCTGGAAGAGCAGAGATGTGGGCCACACCAGGGGCCTTCCTGGAGGAGGCGGCCGGGGCTGCAGCCCGATGGAGGACAAGATGGAAAGCGGAGGATGCACACAGGCAGGAATCAGTAAACGGGCGGAGGGGAGGGACTTCTTTATCCAACAGCTGTCGCATCATGTTGACATAATCATCTCATGTAATCCTCTTGGCACTTGTGCAGAATAGAAGTCACTGTGCCCATCTTGCAGACGGGGAAACTGAGGCCCAAGCTAATTAACCGGCCTCCAGTCACATAACTCCTCAGCAACATGGCGAGACTGGGCACCAGGTCTCTCTCATGTTTTTGACCAAAGAGGCAGCCTGGGGGATGGGAGGGAGGCATCCTGGGGCCCTCCTCCCTCATGGCTTCCTTCAAACTCACCCCATCTTGTGGCTGACTCTGACATCTGCAAGACTAGATGCCCCTGGAACTGTTTCTAGAAGCCTCTCTCCTACCTTCACCTGACTTTTTTTTAGCCTCTGGGTGTGGGTGGAGAGAAAAATAGCCCTGGGATTCTCAGAACCTTTACAGCCACTCCCTCCGGCTGACTCTTGCCTGGAGAGGCCCCAGCAGAAGGAGCAAGGGGCAGGCAGGCCTGTCTGGCTCGGGGCCACCCTCTCACCATAGGACAGCCCTGCAGGAAGCTCACAAAGATGGCAAAACAACTGAAACTATGTGCCTGCAGGTGGCCCCCAGGGAGAGGATGTGGGGTGCGGATGTAGGGGAAGGGGTGGGGGTTGAAGGCTGGCCAGGTGAGGCCACCAGCATCATCATCCAGTGCCCAGAGAAAGTGTCCAAGTGAAAGGGCGATTTCGGCAGTGGGCAGCCTAGGCGGCGCCGTGGGGCTGGGCTGGGGCAGAATACGATGGGGATGCTGTTAGATCATCTCAGAGAAATTTAGAAAATTTTCAGAAATGACCCCTGGTCCTTGTGGCCAATATAGATAAGGGGGGGAAGTTCCCCATTCCCAGATGCCCACTGCCATGCTTAAACCGCTTGGTACCTTGCTTGCTTCACTGGATTTTTATTAATTGTTTTGTTAGCTTTTCATGAGGGGGCAGGGAAACCCTCCTACAGAACTCCATGAGGACTTGAAGCTGAGCTTTGGAGGCAGGGAACGCAACATGGGCATGCACACGCTTTAAACATGTGACTGTTACTGGAAGCCTGTACGCACATGACCGTCAGAAAGGATGGCCACTCTGAATGGGAGATCTCTCTTGTGCATCCGCTCTACACATAGTGCTCGACCTAACGTCTCCAATTTAAGTTTATTTGAAAAGAAGCAAGATATTCCCAAGGCAGCCTTCTGTGCACATTGCCTGCCTCGGTGGGGCACGGAGCAGAGATGCAATCCAGCACCCCACTGTTTGAGTGGTGCCACTGCACACATGTTCTTTCCAGTCCTCAAGAACTCCGTGTGCAGAACACCCTGAAGGGCC